TATTATTATTATTATTATTATTATTATTATTATTATTATTGTTGTATCTTTCCTGTGGTTAAAAAGAGGCCACCTGTATGTATGTATCAGCCTGACACACATTTTTAGTTACTCACTTTGATTAGCAAAGTGTTCTGTTCTGAATTGCAAATAACAACATGCTTTGCTAGGGATATTTCAAGACAGTTTGCAGCAATCTCCTATAAAAGGGTCATTCATCAGTGGCTTGGATGCACTTTCTGTGAGTTGGCCAGTGCACAGCCCATCCTCTTCTTGCTGACGTCTGGCTCTATCGCACATCACACTTTTCCCACTGGAGCAGGGGAAAGAGCTTCAATGAAAGCTGCCTGCTTGCAGTCTTAAAGAGACTGCAGACACTGGAACCACTCCTTCCTCTGCTTCTATTTGCTTCTTCCCCAGGAGCATTAGCCCAGAAACACCACCAGGAAGGATGAAGAAAGATCATCGGTGATATCCTACAGGCTAAAATTCTGCAAGGAGATGAAGGAAGATCATGCTGTCTGAGTAAAGTTGTGGCTGCTTAGTCAGAGAGGATGGTTTTGTCTGTCCCAGTGATTGCCCTGGGAGCTACCTTAGGGACAGCTACAAGCATCCTTGCCTTATGTGGTCTCACCTGCTTGTGCAAATGCAAGAAATCTGGGAAAGCATCTCCAGACAAGGAAAAAGGTCTGGATGCTGAAAATGCCAAGCCCAGTGTGCTTCAGACAGTCCAGCAGGTAAAGCCCTTAATTGATGGTGTTCTTTGCTCTACCTCCAGAGTCACAGTGGCTCAAGAAGTGAAGGGTTTGTCTTGCTCTAGAGGTTGCTCAGTGGGGAATATAATCTGATTGATAGCAATTGTCTCTCTTTGTAGTCTTTCAGGGTGCAGCATGACTTCTGTGCAGGGAAGGAGGGAGAAATGGACTCAGGTGACATATTAGATTATGAAAGCAACAGACAGTTTTGTTTGTGGAAAAGGAAAGATGTGTGTGTGAGAGAGAGATACAGCAACCTCACAGGCAGTCTCTGGGTGAATGCAGACATCAGGCAGAAAAAAGACTAGTAATTGTGTTTGAATGTTTTTATAATGCTCCTTGATCTTTTTGTTTACATGCATGTTTTTGGCATATGCCTCTGCTACAAAAGAAAAAGCCCTCTGTATAGTAGTTTGAGCATTGGACTATGACTCTGGAGACCAGGGTTCGAATCCTGGCTCAGTGATGGAAACTCAATGGGTGACCTTGGTCAAGTCACACTCTCTCAACCTCAGAGGATGGCAATGGCAAACCCCCTCTGAAGAAACTTGCCAAGAAAACCCTATGATAGGTTTGCCTTAGGGTCACTAGAAGTCAGAAATGACTGGAAAGAACACAGCAATAACAAACATGAATTAACCAGAATATCGATTATTTGTTTATTTGCCTTTTAGGATAAAACCTCCCAAGATGGTGTACTTCAAATTTAAAATCTAGTAAACATAATAAAATATCTATTTTAAAAAAACACAGTTGATCAAAATGTACTGTTAAAAATCACACCAGGTCCTTCAGATTGCTAGCTCAGTTAAGAGCCAAAATAAGTGAGTGCCTGCTTGGAGAGCCATTAAAGAAGATCGAGATGAGATCAATTATGGCAGAGTTCTACAAGATGGGGGGGGGGCCTACCATAAAGGCCATTTTCTTTGTCCCTCCCTCCCTCCAAATTGTGCTTACAATGGGACACACAGGTACAGCCTCTGGTGCTGATCTCAGAGTATAGACAGCCTTCTTGTTGTATGCCTATGACGTATGGTGACCCTAAAGCGAACCTATCATTGGGGTTTCATTTCAAGGTGTGTTCAGAGCGGGTGGGGATGCCTTTGCCTTCCTCTGTGGCTGAGATCACTGGGTTTCCATGGCTGAGCAGGGATTCAGACCTTGATCTCCCAGAATCCTGGTCCTACACTTAAACATTAGACCATGCTGGCTCTCTATAGGCACCTTGATATAATATATAATATAACAATATAGTATATATTAAGGTGTATGGTAAAGTCTTAAGACAGGGCACAAATAAAAATCTAATTATGTCACAGGTAATGATAGTTGTTGATATTGAGTGAATTTATGTCATGCACAAGAAACTTCAGGTATTGTCATACCTTACTGGATTATCTCAATGGGTGTGTATGTGTGTATGTGCCATCAACTCACCTGTCAGCTTGTGGTAACCTCATGAATTTCACAGTGTTTTCTTACTGTATACTATACAGTGACAATGTAGTGCTCAGGAATATAGAGTGGAAGCAATTTATGACCAGAGATGAGTTGGAATCATTACACACAGTTTTGGGAATTTGATTCCATCCCAGACATTGATTTATTGAATGGGCATAGGCAATTCATTATTTCTTGGCTTCAAGTACCCATCTGTAAAATGTTCCTGGCCTAGCCTGTGTGTGTGTGTGCGTACCTATCTTCAAGCATTTCATGGGATTTTCTTAGGAATACTGAGAGGTGGTTTTGCTCCTTCCTCTGAAATATAGCTAACAATACCTGTATTTGTTGGTAGTCTCTCATACAAGTACTAACCTGAGCTGACACTAATTGGCTTCCACGAACGGACAGAAACTGGTGCTTTTAGGGTATTTTTGCAGATCTACCATAACCTCTGTTATTTATAGAAACATCTTTATACTATTTTCCAGCACTATGAAGAGCCCCTTAAGGTTTTGGGGTTTGTTTGTTTGTTTGTTTTTTTGGCAAGAACAAAACTGAATCCATATTACAATAAATAAATAAATAAATAAATAAAACGTAAAGTGAAAGGGACGAGTTAATATCATCAATCATCCCATACCCTCCAACATTTCACAAATGATAATTGGGACATATGCGCACAAGCAACATCAGAATGTGGTTATTAATGAGAAAAAATACACAAGCTAGGAGAGGCTGCAGCAGTTTGTTTTGCTTGAGGCTACTGGAAAAAGGAAGATACTACTTCTCCTCCCCACCCCCTTCCCATTATCTGAGTACAAACAACTTTCATACTTTGAAATTAATTTGCAGAAATTGAAGTAAGATAAGAACAAAGAGGAAAAGTAGGGGGAGAAGAGAGAAACTGCAACATTTTAAAAGTAGCTGGAAAAGTGGGATACCAGATGGTTAATTTGAACTATCCCTGCCAAATCTGGACAATTGGAGGGTATGTTATTTTTTCATATATTAGAAAACACTGGATATGCCTAATTTTATAATGAATTATAAAATTATGGGATAGTTCTGCAATTTCTAAGTTCTCTATATGAGACAAACATCAATAATTATAGAATTTATTGGTTACCAGTCATCACCATTTGCAAATCAAAAGCCATATATCCTAGATATATTGCTTAGAAATGTTAGGGTTTTTTCCTTTTTGAAGCTCATTCCTATAATATTTTTAGCTTTATGTGGTATGATTTTCTTTTGGATCTTGTGAAGAGATTTTGTTTTGTTTTGTCTGCTTTAAAAAAACATACAAGATTTTCAATAATCTTGTCCAAAATCACGATAAACCAAGGGGAATAAAAATATTCCTAAATTAGGGGTGCTGCCACAAAAAAGACCCTGCTTTCACCAAGTGAACCTCTTTTAGTGATGGGACATACTAGAAAGCTCCTCAAGATTATCTTAACATAGGGCCTTTGCAGACTGGAAATAGTGCAAATAGTGCAATAGTGCAAATTGAGTCCACTAAACCTTAAAGTGGACTCAATTTGCACTATTTCTGGCAGTCTGCAAAGGCCCATAATCAGGTTCATATAGATGGAGGAGAACTTTTTGATATTCTGACTACAAGCTATGTAAGTAAGCTTATGAATTTGCTTATAAAGCACACTGATAGCTAGCCTGTGACCAGTCTACTTTGTTCTGAGAAGTATCCCCCAGAGAGCATTCTGGCTGCTGCATTCTGCACCATCTGCAGTTTCCAAACACATTTTAATAGGAAGCCCCACATAAAGCTTGTTACAGAATAAAAGCCCTTTTCCAAATTTATGTTATGTACAGTATAAGTTAATGGGGGCAGTGTTGTATAGTGGTCTGAATGTTGGACTAGAAAATATTCACTCAGTGAGTTTTGATGTCTGAGCTGAGAACAGGATTCGACCCTCAGCTCAGACATTAAAACTCACTGAGTGACCTTGGGCCACACTCTCTCAGCCTAAGTGGAAGGCAAGGGTAAACCTCTTCTGAACAAATTGTGCCAGGAAACCCCCATGATAAGTTTGCCATAGGGCCACCATAAGTCAGTAATTGCTTTAAGGCATACAATATCAATAACTTTTCCCCAGCCCAACCTTCCTACCCCAGACAAGCCCGGACCAGAAGAACAGTTCAAGCAAAAACAAGGAAGCAACTGCGTTCAAATAACATCAAACTACACAGTGTGGTATGTGGTACTGTTGTAGCATCAGCATCCTCAGCTAAAATCCTTTATCTAGGTCTCTGTCTATCTGTTGATCAATCTATCTTCATTCTATCTTCACTAATTTCAGGCAATGCAAAAGAATGAGAATAGAACAAACATAAAATACAAAAATGCAATCCACAAATATAACAAAATCACAAACATAGCCAACTCCAGCATTGTTAAGCAGAGTGAACAAAGCAAACACTTCAGGCAGCAGTTGTGGGAGGGCAGAAATTGGCAGTCCATCAATCATTTCTCTTATGTCTTCTGGCCAGAATTTTATGTGGAAGGAGGACAGCGCCGTGTATGCTACACAGCTTGATCTATACCCCTAAACTACCCTGGTGCCCTCAGGGTCAATGGAGGACAATGGGGGTTGCAGTCTGCCAGAAATAGTGCAAATTGAGTCCAGTTTAAGGGTTAGGGTTAGTGCTAGGGAATCATGGGAATTGTTTTGGTTTTTTTCTGAGACATTGAGCCTTCTCTGTCAGAGAGCTCTGGTGCCACAATAAAATACAGTTCTCATGATTCCCTAACCCTAACCCTAACCCTAAAAGTGGACTCAATTTGCACTATTTCTGGCAGTCTGCAACCCCTCATAGTCTTGATTTCCAGGGCTGTCTTCAACATGCCCTAAAAGCATAATAGTGTCTGTAAGACTGTCTTTCAGCAGAGAGAAATTATGAAGATCACTGGGTGTCCTGAGCATGCAGTTTGTCTTGTGGTGTAACCGTGTGTGTGTCATCCTGCCTTAGTGGGAATGAGCACATTACAAATGTAACAAGCAAATATTCACAGACCTGATGAAGGGAGGTCTGTGGTTATTTGACCTAACCCTGCAAAACCCAGGGGTGATCCATGATCACATTTTAACTCAGCTAATCTTATTTATAAAACTGGTTTGTGGCCAGTCTATACCATAATCCTGCTCTAAAATCAGAGAATGGCACTAAAAAGGCTCTTGGAAAGAATGAAACTTGCAATCAATTGTTTGTGAAGAACAGCATAACCAACAGATTTTCTATCAAAGGCAAAATACCATAAACTACAAACCATATGGTTTTATAGCTAGTAAATGCATCTGTACATAGTTTTTATGTCACAGACTATTAAACACAATACTGGTTTCTCTCTTGACACTGGGTGGGTTAGGACCTCCCTGGCTGTAAGTGTTAATTTTGAAGTGAGAACCGCAATTCCAGGCAACTGGAGTTTGGTTTTTATAATCATTTTCCATTAACAATAAATAGTGACTGATTGATTAATCAGTTGATTATTATATCTAGAAAATGGAACCCATAGAAAAGCAGAGAGTGGGTTCAAACATTGTGTTACTCATGTAAAAGTGAGTTTTTGGACATAAAAGGAATGAGAATTTCCAAATAAAATCTAAAACAGATTAGCTAAAAGAATGAGTTTGCTATTATTGCTATTATCATATTAATCTATTGTTGTTGCATGTCTTCAGGTCATTTCTTACTTCCGGCAACCCTAAGATGAACCTGGGGATTGATTGACAGACTTATTCAGGGTGTGTGTGTGACTTTGATTCTCTAGGGCATAGTCCATCACTTAAACCATCTCAGAGGTTTAACCTTGACTTCCTTTTAGGTTGAAGGGGTGTAACTTACCCAAGGACACCCAATGGTTTTCCATTGCCAAGCATGAATTTGAACCCTGGTCTCCTAGTGTCCTAGTCCAACACCCAAATCACTACACTATGCTGGCTTTCCAGGTTATAGGACTTTTAAAAGGAGAGTCATAGCTTGGCAGAACAGCATGTAGAGAAAGCCCTGAGTTCAGCCCTTAGTTGTTGCTGTTGCTGTTGTATGTTTTCAAGTAATTTCCAACTTATGGTGACCCTAAGGTGAACCGATCATGGGATTTTTCTTGGCCAGATTTGTTCAGAGGGGGTTTGCCATTGTCTTCCCCTGAGGCTGAGAGCATGTGACATGTCCAAAGTCCCCCAGTGGGTTTCATGGCAGAGCAGGGAATTGAGCCCTGGTCTCCAGAATCACAGTCCAACACTCAAACCACTATGCCACAGTGGTTTAGTATCTCTAGTTAAATAGCGTATTAGCAAGGCTGGGGAAACAATTTTGCCTTGAGTGAAGATAGTTGCTCCTCACTTTGCTCCTCTTCAGAGTAGACAGCATTAGTTCAGTGGAGACATGGTCTGGATGAGTGGGATGTTCTTCCCATTCAATGAGCTTTAAAAAGTTTAATTTACTGCCAGGTTTCAGTCATTACATATAGCCTGTGTAGAGTACTTTTTACTATGTGCAACTTTAACATACAAAGTACTATCACTGTGACGCAGAGTATTCATAAAAACCCTGGGACCCATTATTATTTGTAAATAGCAGCAGACAAATACTAGAAATCATCACCTCTTCCAGCAGCTCACCTGAAGCCCTTTGGCTGTGCTTAAAGTTAATAATGCATGTTCAGAAGAAAGCACACTGATTTCCATAGAATTTATTTCCAAGAGTTGGCCATAGCTATGTAAAGACATGGGTTGATCACTTCATATAGGCACATGGACATATACCATCATTCTTGTTACACCCACCATTCCCATATTTATTGCTGATTTTAATCCTCAACCAATTCAGTTGTGTTTGTCTTTACATAATGTGGCATGAAATCTATGGTGCTAAATATGGAGGCTATGGTTACCTATGCTACTCTGCTCTTGATGTTGTAGTTGAGTTGGAAAGGAGCATGCATGTGTGAATCAGCACCATAAAAAAATAAAATGCACAGACATAGGATGTGGGACACTTGGCTTGACAACAGTATGTGTGAAAGGAAACTAGGACTCCTAGTAGACCACAAGTTGAACATGAGCCAACAGTGTGATGTGGCAACTAAAAAAGCCAATGTACTTCTAGGCTGCATCAACAGAAGTATAGTGTCTATATTGAGGGAAGTAATAACACCACTGCGTTCTGCTTTGGTCAGTGATAACCCGTCTTGACCTAGCTATGGCCAGCTCCTGGGAGTAATTCCTCACCTGGAATACTATGTTCAGTTCTGGGCACGAAAGTTCAAAAAAATGTTAACAAGCTGGAGTGTGTCCAGAGGAGTGACCAAAATGGTGAAAGGTCTGCAAACCATGCCCCATGTAGAGTGGCCTAGGGAGCTGGGTATGTTTAGCCTGGAGAAGAGAAGGTTAAGAGG